TATGTATTGTCGACACAGTGGAATGGGAGAATACCACTAGTAGTGTCATCCTGCCAGAATGTAGTATAACCTACATCCTAAGTAAAGAGAAACAACTCTGGAACATGTGTAATACGTATCCGGCTGGCTGGCTGGGTGGCCGGGTCTGTGGTTGGCCGGTGGGTGGGTGGGTGGCTGGCTGGATGGGTGGGTGGCTGGGTGGGTGGTTGGTTGGCTGACTGGCTGACCTAATGTGGCTGTCTCTCTCTCTGTCTGTCTCTCTGTATCTCTCTCTCTCTCTCTCTCTCAATGGTACACATAAGTGAAGTTATCATACATATTATAAATTACCTAGGATAACCAAAAAAATCCAAAGTGCTATACAGTGGATCTGTGCTCCAGTGCCCTAAGTTAATAATAATATTAATAATCATTATTATCGTTATTACAATAATACATACGTACTAATATTAATAATATTATTATTATTAAGCTATAATATAATAATCGTGTCCACTCATTACTTACCTTAACCCTTTCAGGGTCCGTCCCGTAGATCTACGGCTTTACGTTCAGGGTCCAAACTGTAGATCTACGTCATGTGCTCAGCTCACTCTGATAAACTGTGAGTGGTAAATTTGGGCCTAGATATGAGAGAATACATCTATGTGGTATGTGTGCACCACATAAAACAAATCCTGCAGCACACTGTGTATAATGAGAGGAAAAAAACTGAGACCGTGATTTTCGATTAAAACAGCGACTTTGCAGCGTTTTTTCGTATGTTTTTTTATAGTTGTATTTGTGATTTTTTGGTGTCATTTGATAGAATGGAAGACATATTACAGAAATAGAGATAATTTTGATTGGTTTTAGCACTGGAAATGGCTTGAAACTGAGCTCAAAGTGGCAGAAATGTTAAATTTTTGCCGATGTTCAAGAGTAAACAAACGACCTCACACGTCTAATACACGCCAGCTGGTGGGTCTAATATGCATTCACAAATGTGGTGATGATATTTATACAATTATTACAATATTGCATAACAGTAAATCTTCTATTTTTTTTGTGTGAATAAAAATTCATTATGTGAATAAAAAATCAAAATGGAATTTATTTGTAAAGCCTCAAAACATAATTAATGAACAGAGGAAATGTTAGTTTAGTGCCAGGAATACCTACATTGTTTATTCTGGACCCCATTTTGAAATTGGAATATTTTGAACTTTGTGTTAAATTGGCCAAATTACCAATTTCCGGTCACTTTATTTTGTAGTTGAAACAGTTGACTTGGCGATTTCTTGTGCTCAATCGATAGAATAGAAGTAATGCTAGTGAAATAGCTAAGAATTTGGTTGACTGGAACAATGTAATTGGCCTAAAATGGGAGTCAAAGTCGGCAAAATCGCCGATTCGTAAATATCGCTGACACATCAAAATTCACGAGAGCATAATTTCGTCAATTTTCCATCAAATTTCATACTTTTTGTTTTATTACATTCACAAAAAGATTCTCTACCATTTCATAAGAAAAAATAAAATTTTTTTTTTTGGAAAATTCTTGGACACTGGGGCACCACTTCAGATTTTGGAGGTGAGTAAACAAGATTAAATGAATAAATGAGAGGTTAGAATGTTCACGAGTTATGTAAACAAACGTTTTTGTTGTTACCAGCCTGGACATGAATGGTTTCTGTTCACTCTGTCAAGCCGACCAGAAAAACATCTCATATTTGTTAATTTATATGTTTATATGTTATGTAGCATGTTTATTATATAATTTTGAAAACAGTCATAGATGGATTAAGCAAAATGTCTATATTAACGTTTTATACACATTTAATGCGCCTCAGTGATTATCCTCTCCAAGATACGATACTACGCACCGCAAACTGCCCTTCTCACACTATACCATTCACTTACATATCCATACCTCACCTATGCTATCTGTGCTTGGGGTTCAACTGCAGCAACACACCTAAAGCCAATAATAACCCAACAAAAAGCCGCAGTAATAATAATCACTAAATCCCATCCCTGGCAACACACCCCCCCACTCTTCACAGATCTAAACTTGCTCCCTGTTCAGAACATCCACACTTACTACTGTGCAATCTATATCTACAGGACCTTAAATTCCAATATTAACCTTGACCTAAAACGCTTTCTTGATAGTTGTGACAGGATCCACAGGCATAACACCAGACACAAACATCTCTATGACATTCCCCGTGTTCGACTAAACCTTTACAAAAATTCAATGTATTTCAAAGGACCTAAAATCTGGAACACCCTACCTGAAAACTCTAGAACTGCAGACACATTCATCACTTTCAAAACTACAGTTAGAAAACATCTTATCTCCCTGATCCACCCCGACAACTAACTACATGATAACCACCTGGTGGTTCACAATTACATTCACTCACCAACTGACTATAAATCCAGAAATACTAATCTTAACCTTAAAATAAAAATCCTAACTAGTCATAAGTTTGCCTATGATACTCCAATATAGACACTTTGTATTGTGCCAAAACAAAAGCATTCACATTGCTAAACTCACAAATTATGATGTAGTCACTTAGCCTTAATACCACAATCTGTAAGGATTTAATGTTAAGAATTAATCTAAGTCTGCTCGAAATGCCTAGCCATGCTAGGTGTCCTAGTGGCCCCCTCTGTAATTAGTATTTTATAACATGTAAACCACACAATACCCAAAACCTGTAAACCCAACATTGTAACCCTTATAGAGAATAAACTTGAATTGAATTGAATTGAATTAATATAGCGTCTTCAAGATCAATTACACTCTTAATGAGTGGCTCTGAGACAGACAAGCAGACATAAAGACAGACACAGGTAGACAGAAAGACAGACACACAGGTAGACATAAAGACAGACACACAGGTAGACAGAAAGACAGACAGGTAGACAGAAAGACACACAGGTAAACAGAAAGACACACAGGTAGACAGAAAGACAGACACACAGGTAGACAGAAAAACAGACACACAGGTAGACACAAAGACAGACACACTGGTAGACAGACAGATAAACAGACACACAGAGATACAGACAGACACAGATATACAGGCAGACAGATACAGACAGGTTTATGTGCAACAGTGAAAACAAATAGAGAGTTCGAGAGTAAGAGCTTTTCTTGCCACAATCTCCACAATCTCCAGTGCAAGATTCAGATTTCATCTTAGGGGCCATGGTGAAATTTACTGTCGAGTTAGTACAGTTAATACAGTATGATGCTGCTGATAGGGCAGGGTTATTCAAACTGATGCTGCCTGCATGACGCATTGTCGCCCCGAGTATTGTCAAATATTGTACAGCGGTGTGCATCAGCCGGCCCTGCCCAGCTGCCAGATGCACGGTCGTAAGTCGAGTGGACGTACATCGAGCAGGTCGTAAGTCGGATGGTAGGTGTATATACCAAATAGTCTTTATATTGGTCTCAGAGGTCATAAAAGTAACTTGAAAAAACAAAATATTAAAAAATATAAGAAAAAAAGAGTAGAAAAAAATCAAACTATTACCGGGTGACCGGCAGTCGGTGATGTTGCCGTAAGCTGTTCAATTTCTGTCAACTTCACTTCTCTGCATCTGCGTAAGTATTGATCACAAAAAAATTTTTTTTGGCCTATAATACTCTCACACACACACAAAAAACTATAATTTCACAAGAAAAAATAATTTTTTTTTTCAAAAATTTTTCGACCCTGAGAACAAGTTTGGGAGAGGGCCTGTCGACCCTCAAACAGTTAATTCTTTCTGTTTGGTACACGATCGGTGGCAAACTTTTTATTTGCATTTGATTCCAATGATATTTTTTGCAGAGACAGTATTACATATATAATAAAGATGTCAATAATAGAAAAATATAAATATATTTAACCCTTTGACTGTTTACGTCGTATATATACGTCTTACGCACCACTGTTTCTGACGTATATATACATGTAAATTCTAGCGGCTTCAAATCAAGCAGGAGAAAGCTGGTAGGCCCACATGTGAGAGAATGGGTCTGTGTGGTCAGTGTGCACCACATAAAAAAATCCTGCAGCACACAGTGCGTAATGAGAAAAAAAAAACTGTTTTTTTGGATTAAAACGCCGACTTTGAGGTGTATTTTCTTATAGTATTTATCGTTGTATTCCCGTTTTCATGGTCTCAGGTGATAAAATGGACAACATTTTATAGAAATTGAGATGATTTTCATTACTTTCATGATGAAAACGACCTTGAAACTGAGGTCAAAGTAGCAGAAATGTTCGATTTTTACCAATGTTCAGGAGTAAGCAAATTGCACCACACGTTCAATACACATCAACTGGGGAGTCTAATATTCTTTCACTAGTGCACTGATATTATTTATATCATTTTTACAATAATGCAGTAGTCTGTACAACAGTAAATTTTGTATTTTTTTGTATGAATAAAAAATCAATACAGAAAGCAATAGTAATATAAGAGGGGCCTAGAGACGTGACTAATGAACAGAGGATATGTTATTTTAGTGCCAAGAATGTCTACATTGTTTATTCTGGACCCTATTTTGAAATTGGCATCTTTTTTTAATTTGCATGAAATTGGCCAAATTGCCAATTTCTGACCACTTTATTGGGTAGTTCAAATCGGTAAATGGGAGATTTCTTGTACTCAACTGATAGAAAAAATGGAGTTCTAAAGAAATAGCTATGAGTTTGGTCAACTGGAACAACGAAATTGGCTGAAAACAGGGCTCAAAATCAGCAAAATTGCTGATGTGTGTATGTCGCTGAGACCGCTAACTTTGCGGGAGCGTAATTCCGTGAGTTTTCAGCAAAATTTCGTACTTTTGGTGTCATTACCATTGGGAAAAGATTCTCTATCATTTCATAAGAAAAAATAATTTTTTTTTTCCAAAACTTCTGCGACATAGAATGACAGTTTCAGAAAGGGGCTTGTGACAGTCAAAGGGTTAAATAGTAAGGCAGAAAGAAAGGATACCAAGCAAAACTTACATATTTGACTTCCTCATTGGTCTTGCCTTTCAGAAGATCCATCTTCAATATACTCTCAAGTTTCTGGAAAAATTGAAGTAGAATGCAAATTACTATTTTGAATAATGAATACTAAAAATCTGAACAGAAACTTATAACTTCACATAACTGCATGGCCTAATAAAGAAACCTTGGCAACCCTATGTCTTATCTTGGAGACCTGGTTCCCTCTCTCAACTTCCTAGTCTTGAGGGAGGTCACTCAGTAGCATAGCCAGGTTCTAAAGTTAGGGGAAGTGAGCACATAAATAAAGGCGCCATGGCACATACCAAATAATTTTACATTCATTTTACATTTTAAATTTGTATTTAAAATCAAAACATAATAAAAAAGTTTTACAGTAAGCTTATAAATCTAAAAACATAATAAAACACATGTATTATTTAATTATTTCAATTTTAACCCTTTGACTGTTGCAGCAGTATATATACGTCTTACGAGGTACCGTGTTTGACGTATATATACTCATAAATTCTAGCGGCTTCAAATCAAGCAGGAGAAAGCTGGAAGGCCCACATGTGAGAGAATGGGTCTGTGTGGTCAGTGTGCACCATATAAAAAAAATCCTGGAGCACGCAGTGCATAATGAGAAAAAAAAAAACTCCGACTGTTTTTTTTAATTAAAATGCTGACTTTGTGGTGTATTTTCGTATAGTATTTATGGTTGTATTCTCGTTTTCTTGGACTCATTTGATAGAATGGAAAACATATATAAATAGAGGTGATCTTGATTGATTTTTGCCAATGTTCAAAAGTAAACAAATGATGTCATTGTCCAATAAATGTCCAACTAGCCATTCTAATATGCAGTCATGAATGGGTTGACTTTATTTATACAATTATTACAGTATTGCAGTAGTCTGCATAATAGTATATCTTCTATTTTTTGTTTGAATAAAAATTCAAAATAGAAAGCAAGAGTAATATCAGAGGGGCCTGGAGACATGACTGATGAACAAAGAAAATGTTATTTTAGAGCCAGAAATGTTTGCATTGTTCTTTCTGGACCTTATTTTGAAATTGTCAAATATTTTAATTTTCATGAAATTGGCCAAATTGCAAATTTCTGACCACGTTATTGGGCAGTTGAAATCAGTAAATGGGCAGTTTCTTGTACTCAATCGATAGAAAAAACAAAGTTCTAAAGAAATAGCTATGAGTTTGGTCGACTGGAACAATGGAATTAGCCGAAAATAGGGCTCAAAGTGGGAGAAATCGCCAATTTGTAATATCGCTGAGGTCACTAACTTCGCGAGAGCGTAATTCCATCAGTTTTTCATAAAATTTCATTTTTTTTGGTGTCATTAGAATCGGGAAAAGATTCTCTATCATTTCATAAGAAAAAATAATTTTTTTTTTTAAATTTGGCGAGACCAGGAGACACCTCAGGATTGGGGGTTGCAACAGTCAAAGGGGTTAAACATAAAATGAAAACAAAACAGGGAGGGAACAGCTACACCACTAGGGTCGCTACAGATACTTTAAGAGTTTATTAAACACACTTAAAGGAACAATTTTAAACTGAAACAACTGATCAAGTACCATACATGTGTCTTCCATATCCTGAAGAGAAAAAATGCAGAAGCTGAGAATACTTTTCTCCTCAGTAAAAAATAGAAGGTGAGAAGAATACGTAACAAGTTTGGCTTTCAGTCAATAAGTTTTAAATTAACCCTTTGACTGTCACAGGCCCCATTCTGAAACTGTTATTCTACGTTGCAAAATATTTGAAAAAAAAAAAAAAAAAAAAAAAATTCTAATGAAAATGTTAAGATTATTTTTCTGATTGTTTTAGTCCCCCCAAAAAATTGTTGCCATCAGTATTTACCGAGATATAGAGGTGTGAAGTTTGCAGAAAATGAGCAGCGTATGGCAACAGCGGAGACTGCTGCTCACCCGGTAAACTTTGGTTTACTTGTATTTGAAGGTTTGTTGCTTTTTTCACTATTTTATTTTTTTCACATACCTTATGTGGCCTGTGAGACCAAAGTAAGGTGCAATGTACATATATACACTCGTTGTATACAACACAATAAACACACAAACATAATTATCAATATATTGTTTACAAAACTTGTTGACAAAACAATACAAAATTTTTTTTATTACTATTGTTCTATAATATGTATATACCAATATACAGTCACCGAACATATTCCTAGAAGTTCTGCAGCTTGAGTAACTCTTTGAAACATGTTTTCATACACAATGGTGTTTTACACTCCTCTCACATAAAACCAGTGTGTGTGCATTTTTGTGGACTTTTTTTTTTTATGTACAAAGACAAAACACCTCGTCTGAGCAGTTTTCTTCTAAGTACAGTGGACCCCCGGTTAACGATATTTTTTCAATCCAGAAGTATGTTCAGGTGCCAGTACTGACCGAATTTGTTCCCATAAGGAATATTGTGAAGTAGATTAGTCCATTTCAGACCCCCAAACATACACGTACAAACGCACTTACATAAATACACTTACATAATTGGTCGCATTCGGAGGTGATCGTTATGCAGGGGTCCACTGTATTAGCAGGCAGTTGTGTTATGTAGTTATCCAAGGTAAATGGTTGTGTCATCATTCCTTCCTTCCTACCTTCCTGCATTCCTTTCCTGCATTCCTTTCCTACATTTCTTCCTGCATTCCTTTCCTACCTTCTTTCCTACCTTCCTGCATTCATTCCCTACCTTCCTTCCTACCTTCCTGCATTCCTTTCCTACCTTCCTGCATTACTTTCCTACCTTCCTACCTTCTTTCCTACCTTCCTGCATTCCTTTCCTACCTTCCTACCTTCCTTCCTACCTTCCTGCAATCCTTTCCTACCTATCTTCCTGCATTCCTTTCCTACCTTCCTTCATCTTTCCTTCCTTACTTTTTTCCTTCCTTTCATCTAGTCCTTCCTTCATTCCTGCCTTCCATTCATCCTTCCTTCTGGTTTCTATATTATATATACACATATATAGTCACTAGATACTTTCATATAACTGCTATTATCTTCATTCAGCAAGCTTGTCTTGTGTGTGAGTGTGTGGCTTATAATTGTTTTGAGTCAGGAGTCGGCAGCTGTCAAAATGGCATATTATCTCATTACTCACTCCCCCTACCGCCTGTCAAAACAATGGGGTTGGATGCTGCTTCCCCTCCATTCTATCTAATTATCTTTCTCCCTCATTCTATCTCTTTCAATCTCTCTCTTTCTATCTGTCTGTCTATCTCTGTCTCATAGGTACACATAAATACAAGTATACATAGTGTAAATTACCTAGGATAACCCAAAAAATCCAGACAAAGTGCTATACTCTGCTTGAAGATGTGAGTAAACGTGATGGTGACACAGTCTTGTGGCTCTCTCTGAGACAGAGAGCTAGACGGATAGAGAGCTTGACAGACAGACAAATAGACAGACAGAAATGTTTGTGTACCAGCAAAAACAAACGGAGGGCGATGGTCATCTAATCTCTTCTTATCAGCTGCACCTTCCCCCACCCTCATTTACACTCATCAAACGTCAGCTCTTATCAGATGTTATCTCCCCTTATCATATCACTGTCATGGGGTGGACTTTCTTTTTTTTCTTGCTTCAAGGGAACAATATTATTACATATTCTTCTTCTTCTTCTTCTTCTTCTTCTTCTTCTTCTTCTTCTTCTTCTTCTTCTTCTTCTTCTTCTTCTTCTTCTTCTTCTTCTTCTTCTTCCTCTTCTTCTTCCTCTTCTTCCTCCTCCTCCTCCTCTTCTTCCTCCTCTTCTTCTCCTCCTCCTCTTCCTCTTCTTCCTCTTCCTCCTCCTCCTCCTCTTTCTCTTCCTCCTCCTCCTCTTCCTTTTCCTTCTCCTCTGATTATGGGTGACTTCAACTACAAGGAAATTGACTGAGAGAACCTGGAGCCACATGGGGGCCCAGAAACATGGAGGGCTAAGGTGATGGAGGAAGCACTGGAAAACCTCATGTACCAATATGTAAGGGACACTACCAGAGAAAGGGGGGGGGGAGGATGAACCAGCAAGACTGGACCTAGTATTCACCTTGAATAGTGTAGATATTGAGGACATACCTAGATTACCTGGAGAAGGTTTTGGGGGTCAATGCCCCCATAGCTCAGTCTGAGACCAGGCCTCGTAGTGGATCAGGGACTGATCAACCAGGCTGTTACTGTTGGGTGCATGCAAGCTGATGTACGAACCACAGCCCAGTTGGTCAGGTACTAACTTTAGGTGCCTGTCCAGTGCCTTTTGAATACAGCCAGGGGTCTATTGGTAATCCCCCTTATGTATGCTGGGAAGCAGTTGAACAATCTTGGGCAATGGACACTTACTGTGTTGTCATATATGAAAGATCCCTCGAGGCCAGTAATCACGTGGTTCTGAGCTTCAAATACATAGTAGAGTTACAAGTGGAGAGGGATGCAGGAAAGGGAGGAAAAATGAAGCCAAACTACAAGAGAGGGGACTACACAGGCATGAAGAATTTCTTGCATAGGGTTCAGTGGGATAGAGCATTGGCAGAAAAGTCAGTAAATGAGATGATGGAATATGTGACAACAATATGAAAGGAAGCTGAAGAGAGGTTCATACCCAAGGGTAACTGAAATAATGAGAAAGCCAGGATGAGCCCTTGGTTCACCCAAAGGTGTAGAGAGGCCAACACCAAGTGTGCTAGAGAATGGAAGAAGTATAGAAGGCAGAGGACCCAAGAGAATAAGGAAAGCAGTCAAAGAGCCAGAAATGAATATGCACAGGCAAGAAGGGAGGCCCAACACCAATATGAAAATGACATAGCAGTGAAAGCCAAATCTGACCCAAAGCTGTTGTACAGCCACATGAGGAGGAAAACAACAGTCAAGGACCAGGTAATCAGGCTGAGGAAGGAAGGAGGGGTAATCACAGGAAATGACCTTGAAGAATGTGAGGAGCTCAACATGAGATTCAAAGAAGTGTTCACAGAGGAGACAGAAGGGAATCCAGAATTCGGAGAGGTGGGGTACACCATCAAGTGTTGGACAAATACATACAACCGAGGAAGAAGCGAAAA